TTCTATTGCCCTACACCAACCCTACCCCTAAACCTACCCCTCACAGGAAACTTTCTGCATTTTTAGATTTTCAAAAAAACTCATTCTGAATTATTTATAAGCCTTTTGAATTACGGGGACACTGAAAATGTCCTCATAAATCACCTTCTCGTTGTAATACCCCGTCATACCCATGTTATTATACAAATTTGTGTGCTCATAAACCACATAAACATGCACACACACACACACACACACACACACACACACACACACACACACACACACAAAAGGGGACATCAAAGGGAAAAGGGGCAGGTGCTCAAGCAAAGCCACTTGAAGGCAAGGCTGCAACCTTTAGCCAAAAAAGCGTAACAGCTGATGCTAACGCTTCTGGTTTGCCAGTACGTGGGAAAGGAGACCAGAGGCCATTTTTTTTAATGGATGTAAATGGAGGAAGGGCTTCACTACACTGAAAAACAGCTTTTTAGAGGAAACAGCTTATCATTTAATAAACCAACAGCCTGTCAGCTAATCTCCAACATGTTTTACACGAATCAATAATTTTGGATTGAACTATTTTTAGAGTTTACACCAAAAAAAATAAAATTTTATGAGAGAAGTCACTGACTTTTTTGCGACAGGTGGGATACAGCTTACGGCATTTCTCATTCTTTCCTATGGTATCCATAAATGGCGATTGAGTGTCACACAACTCTGACTGAAATTCATTGACATCAAGGATGTGATGTTATTGGTTATTAAGGCACACCTGATCCAAGTTGACCGTTTCACTTTCTCCAATAGTAAGTAATACAGACCCTCTTGTCTCCCTATAGTAAGACAATCTCTGGCTCAAGACATTTCTGGCTGAAATGTGCAGTATGTTGTGATGATGAGGCAGGACTTTTTAAAGACCTTTCAACCCTTCTGAACACTTGTCCACGATGCTATAATAATCCAACAGAAGGCAGAAAATACTTCCTGGAACATTCTTGGGAAAGGGCAGGCACATTTCTCAGAGGGTTGAATGGGCACATGAAGAGAGGAAGCTGGAAAACAATTGCCAGCAACAGGTGTAAATGTCCACCGTTAAGGATCTGCTCAACACACTGTAAAACACACGGGTGCGTGACTGTCAAATAAAAGATTTGGGATTTCTAAGTTTGATGTAATCTACAAAATAATGTGGATGTAGTACTTTTCCCCGAAAAGAACTAGTCAGCCTCAGCAGAGTATACAGAGATGAAGTTGAAGTCGAAGATAGCATCACTTTGAGAAATGGGCTCTTTGCTGAAAAAAAGGAAAATGAAAAGATTTGGCTCCATTCCATTTGCGACAAAGTGTGAAAAGTGTTAAATGGATTTCAGAATTGAAAAGAGACCATCAAAAAGTCCAATTATCATCTCTATGTGCATTCACATGGACAAACTGCACTGAGATAAAAAGAGTGTGCCTTCTTGCACAGCAGTTCTGGCTTCTTCTCATCAGTTTGCCCTTGGGACAAAATGATATATCTGTCATCTTTCAGATATGTAGAGAATTTTAGTCAGCAAAGAAACCCTGCTGTCTCATGGAGGTTAAAATAAAGCCATGTTTGATGTGTGATCCTTTACTGAAGTGCTTGTTGTCATTGCCATCGAATATTTCTTAGTTTCATCTTTATCCTTGACATAATGCATGTTTGATGCATGAAAAAGTGTTCATAAGAGTAGCCACATGGTCTTAGCTCGTTCGGTTGTGCGTTGTTATATGGTTGCAAATGTGTTCTGGAAAGTTGCTATGTACAGTATGTGCATAGTTTTTACTATCTGCAAGTACACTTTTATGATCCACCGTATGCCTGACCAAATAATAGAACAAAAATAATGTCATTCATGTCTGTTGCACAAATGGTGCAAGATGAGTTAAAGTATTCCACAACACAACTTTTATTAAAAATGGTCTTTATTGAATTTATACAATTTACACAATGTATACATATTTTAAACTGATTTTTGTCCCCTGCCAACAACCCCCTGACATTGTTGTAAAATTAAAAAAGCAAACAGGCATAAACATATGACAGTTCATACATTCCTCATGTTAGTTTAAACATATACTCCATAACTTAACACATTCAGAGCCTCTTCAATGTACAAAACACTGCTCAGATATCTTAAAATTCAGATGCTTTCTTAGTACAGAAGATTTTTAAGAGCCAAGGTTGATACTAAGCTTTTCAGCCATAATCCAAGGAAAGAGCAGCTAATATTTTTTCCAGCAGGGCGTCTGGCTTGTTATAGACATACCGGTAAGTCCACCATCTTATTTCTTTAACAGAAAGAGAACAGTTGCACTACACAACTTTTAAAATCTTAACATATTTTAAAACATTAAGCATCAAACATTTGCAGACTTTGTAAATGGCTACAGAAGAAAAAATTGGGCATCATTCACTAAAAGACTTTTAATTAGTTTCGAACACAATAACCTTATGCAGAATCATCATCAGTCTAAAGCTAAAAAAATCGGAGTTTGCGCCTATCATACACTACGCAAGTGTTTGTGAAATTAGTCTGCAAAGTGGGGTAAAAGTCTGGGCAAAAGTAGTGTAATGTATTCCAGCCTTTGCAGAGCAAGGTTAATTTTATTAACCTTGCAAAGGCATATGACCTTATTGTATACACATTTATAAGTTTCCCTTTCAGATGCAACATTTATGGGATTTCTTAGAACCATTCGGCCCAATGGTGGAAAAGCGGCTTAACAATATTGTTCCTCTATGTCATTATAGTTGAGGTGTGGACTAAAATATTTTTTGGTGGTGAGATGTTGTTCCAAACGTCTATGAATTTCTTTCTTCTGTTGACCACAAAAGAAGATATGTCGCCATTGACTTCTATAGTCTTTTTTTCTCATACTATGAACGTCAGTGACTAAAAGCAGCTGTTTGGTTACCAACATTCCATGATACCATTTTTAGCACATTTAGATTTTTGTATTTCCCCATTCAGGAACTGAATTGCCTTGAAATGAATTTTGACCATGTCCAAATAGAAATGCAACTGGAACCGTTCCCTTAGCGTGCTCATAATCGTCCGGTTTTACAGTATAAAAATGCTTTATGTTTCTGCCCTTAGGTTTAGAGGATCAAATCACTAATCCCAAGTATGAGTAATCGTAGTATTGATGCTTGCTTTAGTAAACACCATAAATCATGCATACAAGCTCAGTGACAGAGGTTTGACAAAAAGTGGCACATGGTTATTTCTGTTCAGCATAGTCTTTTTTTCTCATACTATGAACGTCAGTGACTAAAAGCAGCTGTTTGGTTACCAACATTCCATTTTTAGCACATTTAGATTTTTGTATTTCCCCATTCAGGAACTGAATTGCCTTGAAATGAATTTTGACCATGTCCAAATAGAAATGCAACTGGAACCGTTCCCTTAGCGTGCTCATAATCGTCCGGTTTTACAGTATAAAAATGCTTTATGTTTCTGCCCTTAGGTTTAGAGGATCAAATCACTAATCCCAAGTATGAGTAATCGTAGTATTGATGCTTGCTTTAGTAAACACCATAAATCATGCATACAAGCTCAGTGACAGAGGTTTGACAAAAAGTGGCACATGGTTATTTCTGTTCAGTTCTTCACCTCCATGCTTGAAAGGCGCAAGGTCAGGGTGTTGTGCTGGCTTGGAAGGACTCATTCCACACATCATTTGGCAGGAAATTGCTGCCCTACACAGTTTCACACACTGGCACACGGCCCACAAAGCCACAAATCTGCCAGCAGCATTATTGGGTATTTTAAAAACCCTTACAGGTCTCAAGAGGAGCAAGAGAAGGCTGACTGTTATTGACTCAACATGCTTTCTTGAAATTTCATTGCTCTACTTTGGCTCAAATCTATCAATACAGGTATGTAGAGTCCTTGGCCTTGCAAGGGGTATAAACAGAAAGCTTTGGATTAAATATATTGATTAGTAAGACAGAGCATGCATGTTGGGTTTAAATGCTACTCTGCCTTCTGTTAAGTACTCAGAGGATAGCAGAGCACATTTCGTGAAGGGAAAATGTTTCACGAATACATTTTCACTCATGTTCTTTCATTGATTCAAGTTGTCCTGGAGTTAAAACCAACTGCTCTACAATGTCATGTCCAGTGAGACATAGAAAAATACAACAGAAAGCCAATAAGCTGCTGTCTGTTGATGTGAATGAAAAGCAGACTTTATTTGTGAATTCCAAGGAACATGGAATTGGATCCAAATGGATACAACGTTTTAGATGGTTTCAATCAACCAAAAACCTTTATCGATTAGGTGTGATAGAAAAGCACTATTCATTCTCAGCTTGTAAAAATATTAGTACATCCCTCATTGCTGAGTGCTTTCAATCATCTCATTACTTAAAAATCATATGACTTTGAACAGAAGGAAAGCGCTTTAGCATTTTTTTGTCCAAGTAGACCCCTTCTTCTTGTTTCAGGGATAAAGATTTAGGCTGTTTTCCAAACCAGGGTCAGTGAATAAATAATTTATTTACTCTAGGATGCTTTATGTTTGGCATGGTTCTGCATTTAGCAAAAGCATGTTCCGCTTAAGAAACAGTTGACATTGCTGATACAGCATGGATCCGTGAGCATGTACTTGTAATAGTAATGTAATTCTCTTTATGCCCTGATGCTCTGAGTAATGACAAAGAAATCTTGAAAGTGGGCCTCTATCAACCTTCAACTCCATTGCTGACCCCCTAATGACCTGCTCTTCACAGCTGCAAATAAGTGTGCTCAAGCTTTGTTGAATATGCATAGACTTGATCTGAATATGCATGGCCCACCAAAATGTTAATCATGTTTGAGCGCTGCATGTTGTGCTAATAGTTTGAGTTGAGTTCTTTAGAAAATGACCATGGTTGGGCAAAATTCATATTTAAGAATTGGGTTTCTTTAAGTTGAGTGGAATTGGCCACATCTCACAGGATGTTGAATATTTATGAGCACTTTCACACTCGTAGCCGTGAGATATGGCTGTATATCGGCACGGCAGTGATTCGGCCGTAGGCACGAGGCCGCATGTAATCACAGTGTGCCGATATACAGCCATATCTCATGGTTACGAGTGTGATATTGCGTTTATACAACAGTTCGATGGCACGAGTGTGTAAATACATAAGAAACAACAACGGAGTGTCTTCAAAAACACTCCGATCTTTTGTGCAGAACTACTTCCTTCCACCACGGATTCAGTGACAGTTTAACAGCTGAGGCCAATCCTCCGTTACTAATTCGATAACGTCACGTTAGAACTAGTAATGAAGGAATGTTGAGTTGCTTCATTAAAAGCTTATTGTATCACTGTACATAAGAAACAACAACGGAGTGTCTTCAAAAACACTCCGATCTTTTGTGCAGAACTACTTCCTTCCACCACGGATTCAGTGACAGTTTAACAGCTGAGGCCAATCCTCCGTTACTAATTCGATAACGTCACGTTAGAACTAGTAATGAAGGAATGTTGAGTTGCTTCATTAAAAGCTTATTGTATCACTGTATTAAAAACAGTGTATTATGTAGAGGGAGGAGAGTATTATGTGAGAGAGACTGACTGAGCGAATGTGATTACTTGCATCTGATACAGCATTCATTCTTCAGTTCAATCTCATATTCAAAACATTAGTTTGAATGTCCGCTGAGGAAAGCGATATTTTTGTCATAATATCCCTGCTGACTCGTAAAAACTGTCTCTTGTCACCATCTAATAGCGGAATAATGAAACTAAAATCGCAAACACACACACACACTAGCAGCACACACACACACTAGCACACACATACACACTCCATTAATATCCTAATGGATAAGGCGGACTTGTAACCCGAAGGTCGCAGGTTCGAGTCTGAGGTCCAGCAGGGATTGTCGGTGAGGGCAGTGAATATCCAGCGCTCTCTCCACCTTCAATACCACGACTGAGGTGAGACCTTTGAGCAAGGCACCGAACCCCCAACTGTTCCCCGGGTGCCGCAGCATTGGCTGCCCACTGCTCCGGGTGTGTGTTCACAGTGTGTGTGTGTTCACTACTGTGTGTGTGTGCACTTGGATGGGTTAAATGCAGAACACTAATTGCAAGTATGGGACACCATACTTGGGCACACTTCACTGCACTGCACACAGTACATTCTTGCTTAAAAAACTCTTAAAACTACATTCCGTGACAAAAAAACAGTATTATTTTTTGGAAATTATAGTTAATTTGGTCGTGTGCCATATTACTCGCTGTGAGAAATACCACAAGCGGAGTGATACAAACTGTGAAACGGATGGAGTTCTGTTGACTCTCTTATTACCTAATCAGATTCGAGGACCAGATAGAACTGTTGTATATATATATATATATAGACATGACATGCTGGATACTCAGTCTCTGGGTAGGTTTCAGTTTGTCTAAAGTCAATGTTGAAAGGCATTTGAGAAATATTTATTCAAAAAAGATTTTGTTTCCAAACTAAATTGAGATTTTAATGGAAGTAGACTTACTCAAACAAACCACTTGATATTGCAAAGGCATTGCTCCTCAAGCTTTCTTAAGGCTATCTCTACTCAGATTTATTCAGAAACTGCACTTATGGAGTTATGGACCATCTTTCCTTGCTGATTCACGCATCACTGAAGTGCACTATCAGGGAATAGTTAATATATTCTTCACATAGTAAAACCAGTCTGTTGTAAAAATCAATACTGCATGGCTTCTACAAACAATGTGTTAAACTATGAGAGAGTCAGAGAGTTTTATAACTGAACTATGGTATAATGGAAAAGTTATAAGCTCAAACCATTTTCAAGATATATATTTTTCGATCTGTGATGTACAACGGCTTTTTATCATAAGTGCAGTGTTCGGTGTGACAGAATGTAAAATGTGTGTGGTTATGCAATGATTCCTCTGTTTTTAGGTCTTTCAAGAACTCAGACTCAGGTGTCAGACAAGATGTTCTTTGTGAAGGGGGTCAAAACAGCACGAGTCACGCAACAAAGGTGTACACATGTAATCACAGTGTGCCGATATACAGCCATATCTCATGGTTACGAGTGTGATATTGCGTTTATACAACAGTTCGATGGCACGAGTGTGTAAATACATAAGAAACAACAACGGAGTGTCTTCAAAAACACTCCGATCTTTTGTGCAGAACTACTTCCTTCCGCCACGGATTCAGTGACAGTTTAACAGCTGAGGCCAATCCTCCGTTACTAATTCGATAACGTCACGTTAGAACTAGTAACGAAGGAATGTTGAGTTGCTTCATTAAAAGCTTATTGTATCACTGTATTAAAAACAGTGTATTATGTAGAGGGAGGAGAGTATTATGTGAGAGAGACTGACTGAGCGAATGTGATTACTTGCATCTGATACAGCATTCATTCTTCAGTTCAATCTCATATTCAAAACATTAGTTTGAATGTCCGCTGAGGAAAGCGATATTTTTGTCATAATATCCCTGCTGACTCGTAAAAACTGTCTCTTGTCACCATCTAATAGCGGAATAATGAAACTAAAATCGCAAACACACACACACACTAGCAGCACACACACACACTAGCACACACATACACACTCCATTAATATCCTAATGGATAAGGCGGACTTGTAACCCGAAGGTCGCAGGTTCGAGTCTCAGGTCCAGCAGGGATTGTCGGTGAGGGCAGTGAATATCCAGCGCTCTCTCCACCTTCAATACCACGACTGAGGTGAGACCTTTGAGCAAGGCACCGAACCCCCAACTGTTCCCCGGGTGCCGCAGCATTGGCTGCCCACTGCTCCGGGTGTGTGTTCACAGTGTGTGTGTGTTCACTACTGTGTGTGTGTGCACTTGGATGGGTTAAATGCAGAACACTAATTGCAAGTATGGGACACCATACTTGGCCACACTTCACTTCACTTCACACAGTACATTCTTGCTTAAAAAACTCTTAAAACTACATTCCGTGACAAAAAAACAGTATTATTTTTTGGAAATTATAGTTAATTTGGTCGTGTGCCATATTACTCGCTGTGAGAAATACCACAAGCGGAGTGATACAAACTGTGAAACGGATGGAGTTCTGTTGACTCTCTTATTACCTAATCAGATTCGAGGACCAGATAGAACTGTTGTATATATATATATATATAGACATGACATGCTGGATACTCAGTCTCTGGGTAGGTTTCAGTTTGTCTAAAGTCAATGTTGAAAGGCATTTGAGAAATATTTATTCAAAAAAGATTTTGTTTCCAAACTAAATTGAGATTTTAATGGAAGTAGACTTACTCAAACAAACCACTTGATATTGCAAAGGCATTGCTCCTCAAGCTTTCTTAAGGCTATCTCTACTCAGATTTATTCAGAAACTGCACTTATGGAGTTATGGACCATCTTTCCTTGCTGATTCACGCATCACTGAAGTGCACTATCAGGGAATAGTTAATATATTCTTCACATAGTAAAACCAGTCTGTTGTAAAAATCAATACTGCATGGCTTCTACAAACAATGTGTTAAACTATGAGAGAGTCAGAGAGTTTTATAACTGAACTATGGTATAATGGAAAAGTTATAAGCTCAAACCATTTTCAAGATATATATTTTTCGATCTGTGATGTACAACGGCTTTTTATCATAAGTGCAGTGTTCGGTGTGACAGAATGTAAAATGTGTGTGGTTATGCAATGATTCCTCTGTTTTTAGGTCTTTCAAGAACTCAGACTCAGGTGTCAGACAAGATGTTCTTTGTGAAGGGGGTCAAAACAGCACGAGTCACGCAACAAAGGTGTACAATTGTTTAGCACTTGCTCTACCTGTCTCTATAAACATGTAATGTAATTTGGGTGATTATTGTTCATGTCATGTGTGGCCAATCAACACCCAGGACTGTAACTATACATAAAATTATAAAATGTTTTACTATTTCTTCTTTTCCCAGGGTAATTTATAAGACATTGTGGGGAAATGAGCTTAAGGACAAAAAAAGGACAGAAACGGCGCTGAAGGCCGGGGAGGACAGAGCCATTCTGTTGGGTTTGGGAATGGTGTTCAGCTCAGTCATGATGTACTTTGTGATCTGTATCACCATGGTGCGTGCTTATGCAGAAAGGTAGTGTTATATCATAACTGCTTGAATAATATTTAGCTGTGAACTAAAACAATAACTAAATCAGCATACAGCTATTTACAGCTCCAATCAAAATTATTCAACCCCCTTGACCTGTAAGACACTCTGCTGCTGCTGTAATCAAAATTTTAGGAAAACAATTCAACCAAGGCATCAGTTAACTTTTATAGAAAGTTAGTTTTGTTATTGTATGTGTACAAAATTATTCAACCCCTAAGAGTCACATTTGGTAGAAAATCTTTGGTAGCACTTTATTTACAGTCATGTTCAGCGTGTACATATGTACTTATTATAGCAATTGCAATAACTGTGTAATAACTAGGTACTAACCCTGAACCTACCCCTAATCCTAACCTTAACTCATGTAGTTACCATATACTGCCCAGTACTTTCTTGGGTAAGTACACTGTTAGTACACATACACTCTTAAAAATAAAGGTGCTTCACGATGCCATAGAAGAACCTTTTTGTCTAAATGGTTCCATAAAGAACCTTTAACATCTGAAGAACCTTTCTGTTTCACAAAAGGTTCTTTGGGGCGAAAGAAGGTTCTTCAGAATATAAAAAAGGGTAAGAAAGAGATGGTTCTTTAAAGAACCTTTGACTGAATGGTTCTTTGTGGAACCAAAAATGGTTCTTCTATGGCATCGCTTGAAGAACCTTTTGAAGCACCTTTATTTTTAAGAGTGTACTGTAAAATAAAGTGTAACTGAATCATTTATTCTATTTATTTCAATAAATGTTGCCTCAAAAACATTCCAGAACTTCACAGGTCTAATCTTAAACTTATGAATAAGGCTGCCAGTTGTGTCTCTAGGCTCTTCTTTTTTTGGAAATCTTCTTGTAGCCATAGATATTATAATAATAATAAAAATAATAAAATTCTCTATATTTATGTAAGTGTAACAGCTAAAGCTAATTAAGTTATAAAGTTTCCAAAAACGTAATTTTGTACCCTACCATACTAATAAGTGACGTAAAAATGTGCTATTATAACTGTTATAAACTGTTAGAAAAAAATAAAAACCTTTAGGATCAGAAAAGCTTACATTTATAAATTATTACAGTCTATTACAGTGAGTTTGAATAATTTTGATTGCAATTGGATATCTATATCTAGTTAAGTCAACTCTAGATAATGAAGGTCCTTGACATGCAATCTGCTAACAATCACATAATTTACTACATGACACATGCTGACTGGCCTCTGCTGATTCTGCAGCCAACACATTTAAATAATCTGGTTTAGTGTACCACACACACACACACACACACACACACACACACACACACACACACACACACACACACACACACACACACACACACACACACACACCACACACACAAAACTACACCACCCTATATAACACTTTTTTTTGAGAAT